CACAGCTTAATCTAGGGCTGGGTCCGAAAACCGAATCAAACAATACCGAACCGCTAATAAACCGAAATCGAATGTAAAAAACTGAACCGTAGTTGTTTGTTTGGTTTTGGTTTTTTACAAACCGAACTAATTAAACTATAAAATTAATGGAATATTTGTCAATTGTTAAGCATTAATCCTAACTAATCCTAATATCATTTATAGTCTTTGATTTTCTTGTGCTAGAGAAATAATGTTTGTGTTATGTTTAGTTTAGTTTATAAATTCATTTACACATTCATTGCCCATTGCCCGTAATAATGTAGATATATTGAATGACGATAATATGTTTTTATTAGTTATTAGTATTAATTAACTTTTATTTTTATTTAACTTAAAGAATTCATATTGATGAAACAATAAATATTCATCTCAAGTATATCACATAGAAAGTACTCCGTATATACTCATGAACTCTTTTTGAAATAGCCACAAACAATGTAAATTAATAATATATATACTTTTATCTCTCTCGCATACTCATATAATTCAAGACATATTTATTTATTTTCATTTTTGTTTTATTTGTTGTAGTGTGCTTGCATCTTTATGTAATATAAGTTTGATCCCTCAAAGTATTATATCAATTTTAAATCAAATGATAATTTTTTGGTAAGAAACCGAAAAAACCGAAATCGAATCGAAACAAACCGAACCAATCATACCATGGTTCCAAGTTTTGGAGTGTAAAACCGAACCAAAACCGAACCGTACTTTTTACTTTGATTCTATATTTGGTTTTAGGTCAAAACCGAACCGCAAGAACCGAACCCACCTCTAACTTAATTTACATATGGAGTAGCTCTAGTCTTCTTTTATTTTTTTGAAAAGTTTATTATGATTATATACTTTATTTTTTCTTCTTCGGATTTTCCATAGCTAAACTACGTAGTCATTCTTACACATAGTTTTTAATAGTATAGGCAGTAGTTTTTAATTAATACATAGATTTTTTAGAATATTCTTTGTCTAACTATTATTGCTTCATGTAATGTACTCATTCTTATAATCATCATCTTTCCCAATTTGGGTTTCTTTTAAGTTGTTAAACTTTTCTTTTCGCTGTTCCAAACCTTAATATTTGAACTCGTGATTCGAATGACCAATTGGCGAAGTCTAATATTCTTTTTCAAATTTCCTTTTACTTTACATATATACTTTCTTTTTGTGCAAGTTATTGATATATATTTATTATTATTATTATTAATATTATTATTATTATTATTATTATTATTATTATTATTATTATTATTATTATTATTATTATAGCATGATCACTTTCCTTGTATGCAAAACTTATATATTCATTCCTAAATAATAAAAGTATTCTTGCAATATTCTTTGTCTATCTTTTATTACTTTATGTAGTCTCATGAGAAAACTCTCTAAATAAAACAAAAACATCAAAGTTAACTGTTCGATATTAGTTATTAATTGTTGTGTGTTAGATATTACTTTTTGTGATTGAGATACTTGTTTTGATGCTTTATATACAAACTATGTGTGATGTACTACTTTTCGTGTGCATTAGATATAGGTTATTGTGTGTGCACTACACATTGATGTGTGTGCTATAGCTGGAAGCCTGGAATTGATTGGTGTAATTTATCGTAAACATATCATACTTATTTTTTTAAAAAAAAATTATATATGCGATATTGGTGTCATATGAAATATAATAAAAAATTAGTTAATTTGATATAATTTTTAATAAAATTGGATTATAATTGAAAATGATAAATCAATTTTAAACTACAAGCATTTTATATTTGAGTTTACATTTTTACCTAATTTTGTGGAAAGTGACCTTCTCCATCGTTACCATATTAATTGATGTTTTCTTAAAATTACTTTAGTATCCTTTATTTGTTGAACACTCCTCTTTTAGTTTCTATGAGATATGCTACTATGTGAGCACATCCATGTTTATATCGTGAACCAATTACTTATTGACCGATCATTTAATGAGACGGAGGGGTTAGATGTGTTCTCATTTCTCACAATAAGAGGTGTTCTCATTAGAACCACTCCACACACACACACACACACACACATATATATATATAGAGAGAGAGTTTGGATCAAATAAAAAGTACTTCCTAGGTGAAAAATAAGAACTAATCTTGGCCATTAATGTGAAAAAATGGATGGAAGAGATCAAATTTTAAGTTGGAAACGCGGTGGCATTGTTGTAATTATGAAGAACTTTTATTGAAAATTTTGTGACAAATGTGCATCAGAATAGTCAAAAGGTGCATACATAGAGCACAAAAGTTCAATACGGTACACAATAAAAAAATGCACAAGCTGGAAAATTTTGACAATCTTTTTTTACATGCACGAGTGCACTTTTAATCTGTTACTATCCACTTTATAGTATAAACGTTTGCACATTTTTTGAAATCATCTCTTTTGTTTAAAGTTTATCTAATCCATCCATTTTCAAGTGATGGAAGACCAAGATTTGTTCTCACTTTTCATGGGAAGACTACTTTTCACTTGAACTCACCCACATATATATATATATATATATATATATATATATATATATATATATATATGTTCAAATGAGAACCATGCTTAACGTGAAAACGTGAAAATTCCACTTTTAAACAGATTTGATGCACTATACCATGTATATGTTGCACATTTTCATGTTGACGAAATATTTATGAATCTGCCACCACATTTATTTCATATTAGCATGTTTTGATCAAAATTTAAAAAGTGCAATAGAAGAGTCTCATAGTGCACCGAGATATGTTAAAAGTGCATGGTTCTCACGTTCTCACGTTGATCATGGTTCTCATTGGAACCGTTCCATATAGGGGAGTGTTCTAGTGAGAACCCCTCTTAAGATGAGAACCTTTTTTAAAATGAGAACTTCTAATCTCCATCATTCAATTTTGCAATCAATGACTAATAATGACAAGGTGACATTTTTGTAATTATTCAAGATTAATTGCAAAAAAACCTCATTTGATTTTAGGGTAATTATGAATGTGACCTCATGCGAATTATAACCAATGATTGCAATAAATGAAAAGTAGAGATTCAAAGTTCTCATTTTAGGAGGGGTTCTCACTAGAACCCTCCCATATATATATATATATATATGTGTGTGTGTGTGTGTATATATAAATCAAGCAATCTCTATAACCTTAATCTTCCATTCATCTTGTCTTCTGCATTTTTTTAAAGTTAATACTTGTGAACTAAGACTATTAAATGATGACCACTTCAGTTCAAAATTAAATGACTAGAAATTTGATAAATTTGGACAATTAGTTGATATAGTCTTGTTTAGATGAAGGGCCAACACTGATAGAATATAAAACTAATTAGCTAATAGTACCTCCGTCCCATTTTATGTGTCTTAGTTTGACTTGACGCGATTATTAATGAAGTGGTTGAAAAAGTAAAATTTGTGGTTGAGATTTGAGTATAATAAAGTGAAATGATGTGGGCCACATATTTCTTTCCAATAAAGGAAAGTAGACACTTATTTTGGGACAACCCAAAACGAAAAGTAAGACATGTAAAATGGGACGGAGAGAATATGAAACGTTGCTAAGGCTGTGTCTAGATAACTACTTCAGCTCCAAAAGAGTTGGGATTAGATAAAACTAGACAATTAATTGACGCACATGTAGTCTTGTTTAAATGAATGCCTAATCTTGATTGGATCTAAAATTAATAAGCTGATATGAAACGTTAGTAATGGTAGCATTTCACTTTAGCCTTTAATATACTGCAAGCTTACATTGATTGCCTTTTCACTTCTATTATTTGAACTTCATCTTGTTTATATTAAGATATTTATTTATTTTCACGGTAATCTTACATTTGTTAGTGGGAGCCTCAGTTGTGTTGCCAAGAAGCCCATTTCATTCCGCTAACGATATAGTTTCATCAGCTCCTATCTAGCTGCAGACAACACTATCTAAATTAGACAATAGACTTCAACCTCTGCTCATTTTTTCAAACATAATTTAATTGTAGCGTTTCAGTTGAACTCTTTGATTTGTCACAAACTTATATCGACTTTACTCTCTCATTATTCAAATCTTATCTTATTTATATTAAAATGTTTGTTTCCACAGTGATTTGCATTTTCAGCCCTTATTTCAGCTTTGGTGCAAAAGAAGTTGGTTCATTCAGTTAGTATTTCAATTTCATCAACTTCTATCTTGCTCCAGACCATACGTTTTAAATCAGACAATATGTTTGGTTCAATAGACAATATGTTTTGATATCTAGTTTCATTAATCTTATGGTTACTATTATACAAGTCTCCCCACAAAAACTTGTGATTTTTGAAGTGGTAGGTTTCGAATTTAATCAAACTTAGCAAAGACTGTCTAAGCTATCACTCGATATTATTCAAGCACAGTTCAACTTAGAAAACAATTACTCCGTATATGTATAGCGTGGTAAAGTTTTTGAAAGAATTATTCTTTTGGATGTTTTGATATCGAAACTTGGGACTACGACTCTACAAGAAGGTGGAATCAATCTGATTCCGATCCCTAACAGGCCAATTCAATATGGGCCGGTTGCTGCCTAAAATTTGATGAAACTTAACTGATGCTGCCTTAACAGGCTTAACGCCAGCCCGGTTCAACCAACCTTTTTCCAAACCGGAAAATTGCAAATTGTTTAAAAAAATTATAGTAAGAGTCACTAGTTCAAATAATACAGAACTTATAAATGAATATGTTTATAACATTTGATTTAATGATCAGAAATAAAAATGTTTTATATTGAACTGAAACTTTCTAGTATAGTCTAGTCTAATCTAATCTGAACCGGTCTGATTGATGTCTAATTTATACTACGTATGTATTTACAATGTTGAACTTTAGTCCAATTGAAAACATTCTAAGTAAATACTACATAACATATTAGTACTCGAAAAAACTTTAAAGTACTTTAAACGTACATAAATATAATTACAGTAAGTGCACATTTGTTTTATTGAGGGATTTTCGTTTTAAAAGTTCACGTATCACGGTATCAACTTAAGTTTGAAAAATTGAAACTTCCGTAATTTTTTGCACCTTTTTTCGATACGTCTTTTTGCACCTTCGTATCACAGCTCCAGAAACTCAAGTATCTCATTTTGCATACACATACTTCGCACATGCAATGGAATGAATGGATACCAGTTGAAACCCTAAAGTCCATTATCCATATTTTTTGAAGGGTGTGATGATCTCTAAAAGTGAAGGAATGTAAGGTGTAAAAAACAAGGTGTAAAAAGTATGAACATTACGTATACGATAAGGAATTTATACGAAATCATTGCAAGAGCCCCCATGGCCATCCTCATGGCCGTATATCTGTTGAGCTGCAATGCAGTGCGTGAACTTGTGAAGCAAGCAAATAGACTGAACAGTCATCCTCATGACGCGGATAAAAACTCCAGACCCGAAATAGAATCAGTCAATTAAGTACATATTCAGTGGCACCATAAATAGGTTGAAAATGGCCTGAACAGATCCCAATAGCATTTATAAACCTGTTCAGTGGTAAAGTTTTCAGTTATAAAACTGACTGGTCCTGATCCGGGTCAGGTACGAAATCAGGACCATGCCCATCCTTAAACAAAAAGCAATGCCACCATAGGTCCAGGGACCAAGAGTGGGATCAACTCTTAGAAGACATACAGATGATTAATTTTCAGCAAGGACTCACCTTTTGTACTTAACCAACACATCAGAATAAAAACATCATAGACAAAAGTACAACATTAACAAATACTAGCAATTAAAAGAACAAGTCTAGAAAAGTGTTATATGTACACTCCTAAACTCTTCTTTCTATACAAAAAGTGTGAACTATACTATCTCCCCCTGACTCCACCTACCCACCACCCCCACCAAACGCACACACACAATGAACATCTCATCAAAGAAAGCTACATTGGCTAAGCATTATCAATCATGTAAGAAGATCCCATCTCCCACTATATGGTAATTGGTTGTGGAGCTTTGATGTATACACAAATATGAAGAAAGTATTCGGGGTTTACCAAGTTTTTCACTACCCAAGCAAAAGGGATCTCCAGTTTTGGCTCTATTCCTTGGATCCTAACAAGTTTGATTTCTCGATTATTTGATGCTTCTCCACCAGTTTCATTAGCGCTGGTAAAGTTTGTCTCTTCTGAAGCCGATCTTTTCCCCTCACCTTCTTCCTCCTCTGTGCAGGTGATGTCTCCCATAAAAACCTCAGGAAGAAGCGCTTTTACTGCATCACCCAGAGTGAAGAACTTGTCTGCAGGTACACAATTAGATTCCTTAAACTTTGTGCAATTTTACCCAGGAAAGAGCGGCTCTCCCACACACAAGGGCCACAACCTAAATTTAAAATACATCGTTGTTGGTAGGGCTGAAATTTTCTAGCCTATTTTTCCCATGTCATTGGCATACCACTCAGAATGAGTAGTACATAACTTATACCAGGAAAGAGACGTGGGACATGATATTTGAATTTTGAAAAGTGGGATGTAAGATGGCGCAATGTAGGATGTTCTCTCTTTACAGTATGTTTGGGTGAAGTTTTTTGAGGGGTCAGGAGGGGAAGACTTTAAGGGACCTGGTCTATATCTTGATAAATAACATGTTTCAAGAAATAAGTAAAAGGTAATTGAAAATCTTATAATTGCATATCATGTTAATCTTTAAAATTTTATAAAATCTCAAATACATATATCAAGATATAAATCAAGTCCTCCATAGCCATCCCTCCCAACCCCTTGAGAACTTGACATCCAATTCCCAAACAAAACCTTTCAAGAAACTGTCCATGTGAAAAGTTTGCAAAGAACGAAAGAATATTCCACAAATGGTGGATATGTGAGAAGCCATCATTTCCTTAAAAAAACTGACACTTTGTGCAACTGCTCATTAACACATCAATCTTTAATAACCAATTCTCCAGCAAGACTATATCAAAGGATTGATATAGGACACAGTCAGAAAATGCAATTACTGAATTTAATTTGTTCTACCAACCATCTTCACAAATCTCAACAGGTCGATTGATGTAAGATATCTTGTCCCAACACTCAACCACAGGTGCATCATCTACACAATCAAAATCCTCACTAGAGCTCCGGACATACAAACGAACTGGAACTCTACCTAACATGCACAGAAAACAATAAACAGATAACAAAACATTAAAAACACCACTTTTCCAGATTAAGTACAACTGTATTCAAAATATTAGGACAAACCATTCAAGACATAGTCCCAGCAAAGCAGAACTTATCTTTCTTTTTGTTAAGTTAATGATAAATGCAATGCAAGTAGGTAAAGGTAGCCAGAGGAGTGCGAGAGAGAAAGTTCCATGTACCACATCATGCATATCAATATTTTACAATCTTTTCTACCCTTCTTAGTTATTTAAAAATGTCAGTCTGTATTCAACTCCCACTATCCATTCCTAGATAAATACACTCCTCATTGGATAACGGGAAAGCATACAACTGTTAATTTATTTAAAGGGTAATAACTAATAAATGAAGGATGTTAGAATTCATATCATTCGAAAAATTACCTTGTGAGTTTGTCCCACCTTTATTTACTACTACAGGGGCATCTTCATCAATTTTAGTACTTTGCTGACACTTGTAAGAATCCAGCTTTACTGCAAAATCATCTCCATATAGACTCAGCTTAAGCTTAGAAGAAACGTGGAGATAAGCTTCCAAATTGCCTGAGCAGAAGTATGTAGCAGTTAAATAATACTCCCTCCGCCCCCCTATAATTGTCCCATTTTTCCATTTTTGGATGTCCCCCTATTATTGTTCCATACCATACTTGATAACATTTGTGTGGCTCTAATTCATTCTTACTCTATTCCCACTTTATCAACTCATTATCAACCACATAATTCTACTTTTCTTAAAAACCACACCACTCCCTTCCGTCCCAATATTAGGGGGACGGAGGCAGTAGATTACTGGCATACAGCACCAAGCTTCTACATACCCTAAGACTAGACTCGTTTAACAATCAATTTAATAACTACATATTAAAGATCATAAAAAATATATGAATTTTGATATAATTTTTGAAAAATTTGACCTGCAAAAAAGTTTAGTACTTTAAAATAAAGAGAGTTTTTTAGGAAGGGATGACATCAGCATGACATCACCCGCATAACAGCAGCCCTACATACCTCTTGTTCTTCCCCTTTTTCCTTTTCTTCTGGGCTGTCAACCCGCCCTCTACTTTTAAACCCTCCCACTCCCTTTTCCCCTATGAAACCCCTTTTTTCTCCCCCCATGTAAGCAACTAAGAGTAAAAAAGCTTCACATCTAGCTTCCCACTCCCTTTTCCACTTTGAAACCTCTTTTTTCTCCCCCATGTAAGCAACTAAGAGTCAAAAAGCTCCACATATAGCCTTTTGGACTCCTACTCTCCTTGCACTACAAATGGTCTAGGACTGGACTTCAAAAGTACACCAAAAGAAACCACTTTTGAAAACAAACACACCAAGAGAAACACACTAATTGAAACCACTTTTTTAAACCATACTAAAGAAATTGCATGTCATCACAAAGAAAACCAAGTGAAAATGGGGAAAAGTTAAAGGATAAATGTAATAAGCATTCTTTGGATCTAACATCACATACAGTTCAAAACAGAGCGCCACAGTTCTGATTGATCAATTTGAGACATATTCATGATGTTTTTGCAGTTCCCATTAATGATGTATGCTGCCTGCATAGTGAAATTAAGATACGGGACGAAAAAATACAACCCAAATCTTTGAAACCAACAACAATCAGCAATTAATAACAAGTAAACAATATACAATAAGAAGTGTATCAAGTACATATGGAGACCAATACTGCATTGACTTTCACAAATCACGATATGTAACATTCTAGGGTACAAACTTAATGGTACAACCTTTTTTAGATAATTTTGCCATCTCACATTAACCAAGGATTACCTTGTCCAGACTTCTCTTACCTTTCAGAAAGAACCAACCACTAAAGTCCCGGTTAGGACTTAGGATATTGATTATCATAGTACACTTATGAATCACAGATTCATATTATAGATTTCACTCTTAAAGTTTATTTCTACAGAACTTCATGTCCGGTACATGACTCCGTGTCTCCATGGGTATCAAATTGCTCTAATAAAGAAAACTTTGAAGCATATAGTAAAAGAGTTCGCTTAAGAGATTATTAGATTAACCACCCAAAAGGAAAGTAACAGCTGGCATTTTAGTAAACTATCCATGAAATAAAGATTTCGGTTTTAAAAAAAATCTTGGGCGGATTATGATACAGGAAATCAGGCATACGATCTTCATAGATACTTTATTGACAGAAGGTTACAAGCCAAATCCACGCAAGTTAGCAAAAAGGAGTGAATGAGGCCACACATATACCCAAACACATTTTATTAACTTGCTACTACAGTGTTGAAAATTTGACTGTCAAACTTCTATTCACTGCAATCACCTTTAGTTCAAAAAAAGACTCAGAAATGTCAGACCATAAGAAAGTTAATGTACAAAAGAAACATATACCCGACCTCCTTTAATGAATTAATAAAACTCCATTTCACGGTGTCTTCAGCTTCACATGGGGTTAAAATGCTTCCAGGGTATCCTCTAAAATGTACCTATATGAAGTTTTGAAAGATTATCTTTGACAATTTCGATTAACTATATATGTGGAGAAAAAATAGAAACAAATTCAAATAAGCCAAAAATAAAAAATAAAAAAAATTCAACACAACAAATTATCATTATGCTTAAAGCATACCACATAAAAACAAATACACCAAACACAATGAAGTAGTTAAACAACTCACGAGCCACTTATAGTAACCAATCAAGCTAAATTCAAGCACTAAATGCAGAATACCATAAAGCTGTCATTAATGATTTCCATGAACCTCCAGCAAACTATCTTGTCTATTGGTTGTTCCAAAAGATTATGATTGGGGTCTTGGGGATGGGGGAGTCAGCCGGAGCATTGAGTATGAGGCGTTAAAAGTCAAATTAACACATGATTAATTGTGAAAAGCTCCTTAGATCTACATATTTGAAGGGGCCCGTAGGCCCTACTATGTTTGCTAACAACACTTTTGTATAAAAGAAATGCTACATTTGTACAATTTGTCCAATGCAGCCACCATCAATCATTGATTAGTTATTCTAAAAGATATTCATCGTATCCATCCAACTTAAACTTGCAAGCTTAATGCCATATATTCAGAAGATTTAACCCTGGAGAGATAACTACTGATCCTGAAAACCTTCATACAAACATTAACAGCAAATTTGTCAGTTCTGCTTACACTTTACAACATTCAATGATAATGGTTCACATAAACTGATAAACATCCCATGTTTTACATCCAATATCCTTCTTTAGTTTTCAAAAATTACAATTATTCTGCAAATACTGTTGTTGGTTTTGTTGAGCCATAATCCACTAACACCAATCATTGCTCTCTATGATTTTCTATGTACACTTTGAACTACATGTACTGATGTACCCATTATAGTTATTGAAATGTAGACTAGATAATAATAGTATCTAATCACGAAGTATAGTGATCTTCCATACATATATGATGTACTGTGTGTGTTGAGGACTTGAGGCTATACCGTTAGATTCCATGGTCTTTCTGGTTCTGCACAGAGAAGGTCAAAGAGTACCCCAATAGGTATATACCTGCACACATAGCACAAATACCAATTACAAGAACCCAGCATATATCTAATGGTTCTAACCTAACGAAATTAGTTTTGGCCTTTGGGAGGTGACAATTTAGGCCATGAGGAAGATCAGCACCCGTCAAATTAAACCAGCAACTTATGCATTGTAGTTAAGGTGATCTGAACATGGATATGTTGCAGTTTTAATCAAAGTCACTTCTAAAGGTTTACAGAAGTGAACCCTAACAAAATGTTTAAAGACTTTTCATCACACGCCTTTGATAATTTTGAAATTATCATGTCACTAGCAAAATCCAGATATCCATGAAGCAAATTTTTTTTTTAATCTGCAAGTTATCGTAGATGTTCATTTGAATAAATGTTTTTCACCAACAACATCAATTTTTATTTTGGAAAATGTGATACACACACACACACAAACACAAACACATGTGTATATAGAGCTCCATGTAAAGGTACAATACCATTTCAGAGGAAGCCCTTTGTAGTCAAACCAAACGGTGTCCACACCTGGTGGTAGCGCACTGCTGAAGAAAGGTTTAACTTGTGGTGCTAATAGGGGCAGATACCCTATCCGAGGAGCTAAAATCTGAAGCAGGAAAACATGGGACAAGGGAGCTATCTAAGCAAAACTAAACCAAAATTGTAAGCTTCATCATGAAGTATGCGATGTGGGTCATGCTTTAAATCTTTGTCAAATGATTAATTACAGTTGAAATTCATCATCCATGTAGCCTTTTACAGTACAAAAGTCGGGAGGAGGAAACTTGGCGGTATTGAATAGCTTTCTGGATACGTTTGAAAGAAAAGTAACAACAACAACAACAACAAAATGCAAAATATGTATTTGTTAGGTTAGGGAAGGAAAATCTTATTCAAAGGAACAGTTATAGCTCACTGCCACATTGAAGCTACTGCTAGAACTGGAACGCCAAAATCACTTAAACCCTCGATAATCTTTTAAATGGTCATAAAACTCCACAAGTGAAACCTAGAGCACTCATGTCAATATGAATACACACGCGCATACTCTAAACAGCAATTATGCAATGTGCATAACCATGATGACCAATGAGCTGCGAATAGAGTGGGTGGGGGAGGTAAGAAAGGTGGATCTCACAAGAGCAGTGGGAGGAAGAGGAAGAGTAGTGACTTCGGATTCGTGAAGATGAATCTGCAGTGGAATCGCTCCTTCCCAAACATACTTACATGCTTCTGTGCCTCTACTGATTTCCATCGCTCAAACTACACTGAGCCACAATTTGCGGCCAGGGAGAGTAAAAGACCAGAAAGATTCTGAAACTCCCTTCTCTCTCAAAATTTCTTGGGGTTGAAGAGAGATCGGATGAAATAGGAGTTTGTTTTTAGGTGGGGTTGGCCTTCTTAATTATTATAACTACTAAATTAATTACTCCCTCCATTCTTTATTATTTGTCCCGCTAACCTTGGACACGGGTTTTAATAGAAAATAGTAGGGTAAATGTAGAGTGTGTAGGGTAAATGATAAAGTAGGAAAGAGAGTATATTAAAAAGAGTAAAGTGGTGATAAAGTGATGATAAAGTAGAAAAGATAGTATATTAAGTAGAGTAAAGTTATGATAAAGTAGGAAATAAAAAGTAGTTTGTAAAAAGTAAGAGGGGTAAAAGTAAAAAAAGTGGGGGTATTTTATCAAAAACTTTCCTAAAATAGAAAGAGAGACAAATAATAAAAAACGTCCCAAAATGGAACACGAGACAGATAATAAAGAACGGAGGAAGTATAATTAAACGTAAATAAAAAAAAGGCTTCGCGCACCCTAACGTTTCTATGCTCGGCGAGTCCCTATATAGTACACCCGGGTGTACGTACATCCGGCCCAATTATTAAATTTGACTGGTGGGCTTACATCTTGTTCCAGCGAAAAAAATTAAAATCCCCAGCGGGATTCGATCCCCAGACCCAAAGTAGGGTATGCAACCTTCCAACCATCTCACTGACTTGTCTTGTTGTGATAATTAGTTCTTTTATCTTACTTATCGTATATAGTTTCATACTGCCTATTATTAATAGTAATTATAATATTAACTATTCTTTTGTTTTTACTCATTATTACTATATTAAAAGACTAATTCATATTTTTGAAGTATTTATTTGATCTATGAATCATACTATTACTTTATATAAATATATTTATACTTTTTTTTATATAGTGTTAGGTTCCTAATAAGCCCGATGCTCATCAAAAGTGTTTTAATGCTCATAATAGGTCTGATGAACATTAAAAGTTCATTAATGCTCATTTAACAGAAACTGTGATTTTTTCATCTCATTGATATGACATTGTAAAAATGAGCATAACATGAGTACCAAATGAACATACATAACTTACAAAGTGCACATTGATATGAAAATCGTAAGGTTTGTTAGTTGAACATCATGACATTTTAATTGAGCATCCAACCTCCACTATTGAGATGAAAATCACGACTTCTGGAGAATGAGTAATAATGAACTTTTAATGAGCACCAGACATATTCTGTTGAGCATACTGAATACACAAATTGATATTTAAGCATACTCGAGATTTTAAATGAGCTTTTAAAATTTTTCTATGCTCATTTCGTAAATTAGCTATGCTCATTTGATATTGGTGTAATGTTCATTTTAAAATGAGCACTACACGAGACAACTTAAATGTCATATCCATGCATATTGGCGCAATGCTCATTTTGAACTTTTTGATAATCATTTCACGCGTTATGTATTCACATTTAATATTTGAGCATCAAACATCCGCTATTGAGATGAAATTCACGGTTTCTAGTGAATGAGCAATAATAAACGTTTAATGAGCATCGTACCCATTCTATTGAGTATTAGGAGTCTAATATTGAGAATCGTGATCTCCGCTTCATAACTTCTAATTCACTTTCTTTTTGTTATTTTTTCTTTTATAAAATCTTATTAAACTATAATCTATAATCAACTCCTGTGAATTTCAATATGTTAATTAAGATCTCTACCAGATGAGCATACGTAACTTACAAAATGAGTATTAATGAATTTGTTAGCTGCTTTGTTATTTGAACATCACGACATTTTCATTGAGCATCAAACATCCTCTATTGAGATTGATGAAAATCACGATTTCTGTAAAATGAGCATTAATGAGGATTCGACCTATACAAATGAGCATATGTAACTTACAAGATGAGCATCGATATGAAAATTGTAAGTTTTGTTCGTTGAACATTTTACATATGAGCATAAAATTAGTACCAAATGAGCATGTGTAGCTTAATTGGACATCACGATATTTTCATTGAACATCAAACCTCCTATATTGAGATGAAAATAATGATTTGTATTAAATGATCATTACTGAATTTTTAATGAACATCAGACCTATACAAATGAGCACATGTAACTTACAAGATGAGCATTGATATGGAAAGTGTAAGTTTTATTCGTTTTGAGTAATAGGAGCCTAAAAATGAGTATCGTGAAATCTGCTTCAAATCTTCTAATGTAATTTTTTTTATTTGTTTAAAAAAGATTTCTGAAATTATGTCTATAATCGATTTTAATTAAAAACAATATGCGAATTTAATGTAGTATAATAATTTTAAAATATGCATTATTGATATGGCATTTAAAATGAGCATACCATTACTACCAAATGAGCATACATAACTTACGTAATGAGTATCAAAAAATTTAAAAACGCATTTTTGTTTGCTTATTCATTTTGGACGTTATACTCATTTGAAATATACATTAATATGACATTTTCAAATGAGCATAATATCAATTTCAATGAGCATACATAATTTGTAAAATGAGTATCGAAAAATTCAAAAACTCATTTGAAATCTTAATGTGCTCAAATATCATTTGTATATGATCATTTGTTTTCAAAATGAAAAAGAATACGATCTGAACCTATACACAACGTAACCTTAGTGAATTCTCAAATCCAATTTAATCAACACTACACCATTAATTGTTTAACCTTATCCAGCCAGCCCACTAAGAGCCCGTTTGGTAGCACCAAAATCGGCTGTTTTGGCTGATTCTGCTGAAATTTATGATATTCTGGCTGGAGTGGCTGTTTTGGCTGATTCTGCTGATTTAAGAAAAAAATATTTTAAAAATATATTTTATTAATAAATTAAAGAAAAAATTATATGTAAAAATAGCTAAAATGGCCCTCTACAGTAACTTCAGCCAATACAGCCAGAAAAGTAACTCCAACCTTACTTTTTCGGCTTATTACACAATTCAGCGCGCGAAAGTAAAAGTTACGTGTTTGGTGAAAAAGCTGGCTGATAAGCCTGATAAGCCGAAAACAGAGTTCTCCAAACGGGCTCTAAGTGTAATTTTATTCCTGGCCTTCCACCCACGGATGACGACAAAGATAACTCTCCACCCCAACATCTTACACACCACCCAGATGTCAACATCTCCACCCAGAAGACCAGAAAGCCAACAACAACGCCGGAATTTACTACGGACAGGCTCAAGGTCTACGCTACGTACGACGACCAACAAATACATACTACCGCCGATCTGGACCGATTCCGTCTCTGCTTTCTCATCCCTTCTCCATCCCTAATCTTTAGCACCAGATTTGTAATTAATTGCAAAAATACCCGGATGTACAGTGAGGACCGTACATCCGGGTGTACCGTATAATTTGCGATGCTCGGCTCTATCATGTTCTTACAATTTTACATTAAATGTACATTCAATAAAATGATTGACATGTGGCAAGTTATTCCTTTTTTTATAAAATGTCATAACTTTTTCATTTTTGCTCCGATTTTTACAAAACTTATACCAAATTAAAATCTTTTTTATGATCTTTCATACGACACCCATATTATATATGTAAATTTTTTAAAAAAATCTGGTCAAGTCTAGTCAGATCTGATCGTATTTGTTTGAATCTATGTGGTTCGAAATCAGTTCAATTAAAAACATTATAAATATCATTCACATCATAAATCTAGTAATGTAACATGGTGCTGATGGAGTTTTAAAAGGCGGGGCCCTCCACCTTTGAAATTAGTCAAACAAATAAAAAATGAAGATAATTAGTTTACTAGAATTAAAAATGTTACTTATTCAAATCTATAATTAAATATAGAACTTCCAAAAAAATCTAATATAGAATTGCGCAAAGTAAAAAACAAAACATTTGTGTTTTTATAATATATAAGGTTTATATTAATCATCCAATATAATTGGAACAGGGTCTCTTATAACACAACCCTGCTATAGATACCCCAATTTGTACCCCAACCTATTTTTGTGGCTCACAAAAGCCCACCTCAATAAATGAATTGCCCCACTTTAATGAGGTGCTTTTGTGAGCCACAAAAATAGGGTGAGGGTACAAATCGGGGTACCAATTGGGGTACCTTTAGCATTTTTCCTTATAACATTACGACATTCTGTAAACTGTTTAATTCGATGAAGAAGTGGAGTATCCCATCCTGCAACACTAGCGTCGTGATAGTAAGACCATGTCGTAATCACTGATGGCAACGGAGCGTTGTCGTCAAGCCAAATCTGAGCATCAACACTAGTTTTCATTTTATGCATATCATATGGTAATGTGAAAATAAAAAAGGTAATGTGAAAAAAAAAATGGAACTATAAAATATTGTTTGCTTACAGCTATGTAGTGTTGTTGGGAATGAAGCCGAGCAATGCAAAAAATTGTCTTCGGAGGACTACTACCCGGGGGAGCGATCATGGGCAAACAAGTGACTGGTTCGTGGAGGTCAAGATGCACTAAAATAACCTGGTATAATAACGTTACAAAGATCAACCCTGTGTGTGGCATGTGTATCCAATGTCAGGGTGGTGCAGGACTGTTGTAGTAGTCTATTTGCTCCCGCAACTCATCAATAGTGTCAAGAAGGCATATAGGATCATACAGCCCACGATGACGATCTAGTTCTTCCACTAACTCCCTTCGAACTCTAACCCATTCTTTTTCTCCCCATCCTAAAAGCTCTGCAAGTGAGCGATATCCGCAATGTCCATCTCCAATAACGTCCACAACTTTACTAATATGCTCAAGCATGAATGTCTCAACATCATTACCGATATTAAATTGCATTCGATTTTGATTCCCTTTAATATCCTTGCCACGTCCATGAGACCCATGACGTGATATTGTAGCCTTGGATTTTTTGTATTTCTTCTCAGTGTACTCCCACGCGCTTGGGTCTCGAGTGGTTGACTTTTTTTGGGCCTTCCCTTCGTTTCATGAATCGGTGGCTCTTTCATAGTATTAAGTTTTGGATTTCTCATCTCATTCCATTTTGCATGAAGTCTTTTTTTTCCTTGTGCTGACATATGACCTGATTGAAACTCA